TTTTTTTTTGTACACTAAGTCATATTAGTCAGATTTGTATTTCATCGCAAGAACTTGTGAGGGGATGGTGTGATTTTTTACTTCTATAATGGATCCTGTTTTTACTACTCCATCTTTAGTTTTGGGTAAAGGTATTGCAGTCCCCAAAGGGATCAGCAAGAAGGTGTAGTAATATTGAATACTCTCTCTCTCTCTCTCTTTCTCTCTCTCTCTCTCTCATACACAAACTCGTTTCCTATTTTCTGTCATTGTGAATAATGATGACATCCTAGCAGTTAAATGTTATGCTAACATGAAGAACTAACAATGATACTTATTTCTTTTTGATGAGAACTGCCTTTAAATCCATTTTGTTACTAGTCTCTACCTGTGGTAGTAACAGAGTCAAAAGAGATGAAGGTCTTTATATATGTGTATATACTAACTAGTTATATATGCAGATCACAACATCATCCACTAAGCTTTCACCCAAGTCTCACTCATTCTTTACTTAGTATGGGCTTTAAGATATATTTATAACATGTTCTCATGCTAGGAGATAAGCAACAAGCACCGTTTATGGTAAACCAATGACAAAATAAGAGTTATTTCTAGACAGCCATATGTAGTGTCTCTGCCCTGAGTTTCATCTAGGATGTTTGTAGCTTACAGGCCTATTTCATGGTTGGTTCTCTCTTTTTGTTTTGGTACCTTTTGGACATTATCAATTTTTATAGTTCCTTTAAGTATAGATTAATGAAATATTCAGATATTTTTGTTGTCTTTGCCTGTCATAAACATTATGTGATGGGAAAGTAAGGATGGACTTTTTATGACAAAGTATCTATTCTTATCTGAGTTGAGTTAAAAATGTACAATTTGATTTAATTAAAACAAGATATTTGTGTGAACATGTATATTATGTGCATGCATGTTTACCTTTTGTAAGGCACAGCTAGAGAGTTGGTTCATTGTACAATCAGGATAAACTATAATAGGTACATAAATAATGTACCCTTGGTATGCTTAATCTTGAATGCCTTTCAATTTGATTATTTTTTTTAACGATATATCAAATCAAACCTGTTTCCATTGTAGGACCAAAGAATCCTGGAGCTTATGATGAGCAAGCATGAAGAGGAGGCTTATCAGAATCAGCTCCAGCGCGACGCCAAGCTCAGCTGGGATGAACAGAGGCGAGCTGAGAAACAGACCACAGAGAACCAAAGACGCCACAGTATGACCAAACCCAGCAATGGCCGCCTGCGTAGATCTAACAGCGCCATACAGCATGTGAGTGATATATTAAGTATTTATTTCTCACTGGATTTCAAAACTGTGACCAGGAAAATATCTGATATCGTTTAAATTAAGTTTTTGGTGACAAGTTTTGATTGACTGTATTTTTATTTATACTTTTGGAAAGGAAAACATTTAGAGTGTGCAAGCACCTGTGAGAAATAGAATTTGCATAACAAGTAGATTTAATTGGGTGTAAAGCCTCTTGGTTTTATTTAATGGTATATTTAAACAGATTGTAAATGTCAGCTGTGATGGCTCAAGTTGCGATAAATGCTTCAGTGTGAAAAAGCGCAGATGACAGGAAAGCCACTGGTCCTCAGACATCTGAATACCTTATTAGTTAATTTGTTTATCTTTCGACAAGTGATAGCTCCAAATATTTGTTTGGGCACTTCTTGAACTGTTAATGTACTGTATATTCACGTAGCTGGTGTGGTAATGATGTAACCAAAAACATATACTTCTTAAGTCCAATCGGTATCAGGCTGATTGTGCTTTGCAGGCTGAGCAGCTGGCCAAGCTGAAGGAAGAAGAGCTGGCCCTGAAGATGGATAGGAAGCAGTACCTTGAATTCAAGCAGAAACAGTGGGAAGAGCTGCATAGGAAACAGCAGGAGGCTAAGGTAAGGCTGTCTTGATATGTGCTGCCACCTACAGCATAGTTTTCCTGTGATATATTTCAATATGTTTTTTGAAAAAATGGAATATTTTGAGTATGTACCATCAAAGACATTTGACAGAAATTAAAAACTGTCTAAAAATAATTTTTTAAAAATCTGTAAGTCACCTGTTACAAGGAAAAAGTCATTGTAGATAAGTACACTTTAACCTAGTAATATCTCTTGTAGGCTCAGAAAGTTATGGAGAAGAAGAAGAAGGAACTTGAAAGAAAGAGATCTGTGGAGCGTGCCCTGCAGCTGAAGGAACAGGAAGAGGAAGAGTACAGGGAACAGATGAAGAAAAAATTGGAAAATAATTTGAAGAGAGCCAACTCCAAAAAAGAGAGCAAGGAACAGAAAGAATTAATGGTAAGAATTGTACACTGATGTAACAGCATAATCCAGTTATAGTCAGCAGATTACAGTACTGATATGCCTTAGATTAATTTGATATTTATTCATGTATTATTTTCAGTATTTTTTTTCAAAGGTACAATGTATTGAAATTAAAATTTGACATTCACAGACGGTACTCCTTGCAATACTTTTGTTCCTTTGCAATTTAATTATTTTACTGATCTACATATTTTCATATGACATACTAATATTATGTATACCATGCTTGTTTACCCCCAAATCTGACACATGCTTAGCTGAAACACCTGAAATGTAGAGCATTGTTTGCAGTGTCTAGATATTTTTGTTTTAGTTTTCTGTCTTAATATTGAACACAGCATGGGAAGGCAAACCAAGCAGGGACTTCACTGTACAACTGGGTGATTTACAACCTAGCTAACCTTGCAAGAGTGCTTTTCTTTCAGCAAAGGAAATATGCTAAAGAAGCTGTAGCTAAACGTGTTCAGCAGAGAAAGGAAGAAATCGCCAAATCTCGGAGGTAAACCCTCTTTTACAGGGCCTACTTTGAGCACTAGCCAGGGCTTGGGGTCCATGTAGGCAAATGTGAAGCAGGTTCTTCTGGATGAGAAGTATCACAATTGTTCTGTTCATTTGGCTGCAGTCAATCAAAACCAGTCTACCAATCAATCAAATGGCCAATCATTCAATCAATCATGACACTTTGTGCCCATTTCCTGCACAGCTGAAACTCATCCCATCCTGCTTCACACTTTGCCACTGTTGGATTTAGTTGAGGTGTATGAGTGTGTGTGTGGTGTTATACATTGGTAGTTACACATTATGAAATTTTGTCATTTTAGCAACGCAAGGTTGCCAACGCTGTCATAAAGCGTCGGCAGGAACAAAGAAAATCACAGATTGATGAGTTAAAGAGGTAAAATACGAGCAGAAACAGAGTGACCAATATATATGGTATTAACATCTTATATATAAAAGAAGAAATAAGACAACTGACATTGGATTGTTATCAGATAATAACTGTCACACTGTGTGTTGTACTAGTAACCAAAGAGAAAAATCCATATAAATTTAGTTTACTAACCTGTGTGTGAATGTTTTGAACTGTGGGATCCATTGACTAACCCTAACCAAGTGATGCTTTTTATTTATCATTATCTCACTGTAGAAGTTCTAGAAATACCATATTTCTTGAACATATTAGTTAACATTTACCATTAACACATATTAATGAAATATATAAGCTAGATAGAAACAGTAATTCTGGTTTTGTTTGGAATAATTTCGTGATAAAATTTTTAAACAAATCCATAGTATCCTCTTATTTTTAGTCCTTTTTATTCCATTTATCCATTGATATTCCATTATTAGATATCCTGCCGCCCATTGTACTAGTCGTTATCCTTTGAAATATTCCATTATCGGACATTAATATATATCAGTAATATATCAGATTATCCTTGCAGTATATTCTTTCTTTGTCCTATTTCTCCTTGCCCCCACAGTACAGCCGATAAACTACTTGATAAGTAACAAACTCGTATTAATGCAACATCATTTAGTCTAATTATTTTACAGTATACAGATCCATTTATTTTGGAAAGAATCTCTAAATGCTTAATTCCTCTACCCTAGTACTATTATAATTTCCTGAAGGATACATTTCAGGTTAAGTTGCCCCAAAACCTTCATATCCAAAAAATTAACAGATAATAACCGCATATTAATCAAAGAAATTAATAACACTGAAGGCAGTTTTTAAATCCAAGATTAAACGTCTCAAGCATTATCTTATTTCTTAAAGAAGTGAATCCTTGTTTATATATATGCTAATATCCTAAAAGGCATAGCATAAAAAAGTAATTCCTAGTTCTGAAATGTACACAGAAATATTCTAGAGATATAAACTAAAAATATAGAAGCAAGCAATATAATTAAAAGGTCTTAAATATTTTATTTCCAGAGAGGACTTAGAAGATCTGAAAGCGTCTATAGAGTACAAGCATGCTGTAGCCGAGGAAAACCTACAGAAAGTAGAGGAAGAAAAAGAACTACAGCTCCGGATGAGCCAGTAAGGTTTTTTTTTTTTTTTTTTTTTAATATTCAGACACTGATTTAGAACTCTAAATGGTTTACAGTTGTTTACAAAATATTTTGAATACAGAAGTAAATAAATAAATGCCATGCTTAGATATTTCAAAAAAGTTATACATTGTGGTTTTAATGGTGAGTTTGTTATTGTTAGCATTTATATTATTTTTTATTTTTCATCTAGTCATGAGAGGGAGAAAAAGATGGCCAAGACGAGACGTAGCCTGATGGAACAAGAGATAGAGATGGCTATGTGGCGGAAAGAGCTGGGAGAACATAGAAAAGAAGTAAGAAAATGATCAATTATTTTGCTAACAATAAACAATATTTTTGGTAACAGTTGTCTGTAACACGGATTTAAGCGAGTGAATGGATGTTGTATTCATAAAATGAATGATTTTTTAAAAAAATATCATTTGGTTAGAGTTAGTCAATGGATCCCACAGTTCAAAACACTCACACACAGGTTAGTAAATTAAATTTACATGGATTTTTACCCCCATGTTGAGGTACATGCCTCTTGATCTTAAGGAGTATTTTAAACTTTAGATAGAGGAGAAGGCGGCTGAAGTTGCCCACATGACAGTGGAGCAGAAGGCAAGAAGAGCTCAGGAGGAGAGAATTGCTAAAGAAAAAGAACACAGGAGAAACTTGCAGAGGTAGGGCTCCACTTTTTCTATTTGCTCTTTTGTTTTCAAATTGTTTCTGTTCTATTCCTTTCTTTGTTTCTCGTAGGATTTCTTTTCTGAATTTGATTTGTGATTTTGGACTGGTTTTTTTGTACTGCAGATTTGTTTTGTAGTTAGAAAACAAGTAGTGTAACCCCCCCCCTCTCTCTCTCTCTCACACACACACACNCCCAGGTTAAAGAAAGATGAGGAGGCCTGGAAGGAGGAGATGAAGGCCCAGATAGCAGTCAAGGAGTTCAAATCAAAACTTATCCAACAGGAGAAAGATCAGACTATTGAAGAAGTGAGTTAAATTTCTAATCAAATTTTTACTCAAAAGTTGGATAAGAAACATTTCACCTTAATATGTATGCTAATTTTGTTAAAGAAAAGACTCTTTCAAAGTGGAATTTTTTTGTAAACGATGACAATGGCTTTATTTACTACATAGTATAACTTCTTAAGATATAATTAGAAACTTCTTTGATTTTTAAAGACATGTGACATTAAATTCTAGACTATCAATAACCTTCTATTAATCAATCATACATTTTTTGAACTGATCCTAGTTTTCATACATATTATACCAGACATTAACGAGGAGTGTATCGTTTCTTTTCTCTCAGTCTCGTGCTATAGCGGCACAATCCCAGCAACTCAGGGATGACATACGAAGGTCATACAACGCAGACTCTTTTGATAAGAAAGCCAAGCAGGTTGCTCTTCAGAACAGGACTCTGGGGGTTCAAGGTGCTACCAAAAACATGTCCTCACTGTCTCTGGGTTGAAGCAGAGAGGAGAAAAGAGATGGTTTGAAGCAGAATTTTCGAGTAGCTGAAAGAATCTGGGACCATTGACTTTTTTAAATAAATCTTTGACCCTGGACCATCCTAAGCTAAAAAGTTGTGGTAATCTTGATCTGAGTTTGGTGTCTTGAAAAAAAGAGGATGGATAAAGACCCATTTTCAGCTGAATCAAAAATTTAGGACCTTGTTCCTATTTCTGCTGAGAAAAGTCGTAGGACAAGAGATTATCCTAAGCTGTGAAATTCATAGGACAGTGGGCCATTCTTAACTAAAAGTTATGGGTCCTTGGTCTGATGTCAATTGGAAAGCACATGACTTTGGGTCAGTCTTGTCTAAAGACATGTCACCATACCCCATTCTTACATAAAAACTGTTCTCACATGAAGCATGCAGACAAATATTGGGTCTGTAAATCATCATAACTTAATAGAGGAAAAGTAAAGTCAGAGCACCACGACAGAACACCTCGCAGAGACTGCAGGTACCCTGTTACCATTGCAGTTACAACTGAACAACTCCCCAAAACACCAAGGAAACTGAAAAACTTTTCAGAATTGGACAGAAAATTGGGCTAAAGCAAATAGGCCTGCTTTGGTTTCAGAAACTGTCATTATAGGACATGAAGAGGCAAGGAATGACTTGTGGTACCTTAGGACCTTCAGTGGTACCTTGCAAATTTGTACATGCCTGAAACGGTGCCACAAAATTTCACTCGGTGTTCTGTTCCCAAAATGCCTTAAGAGAAACACAAGCAGGATCTGAATCTTTGTATAACAGAGTCTTCAATGAGGACAGCAGATGAGGTCAAATCCACACAGATGATGTTGACAGCCTGCACCAGGTGGTTTCATTGTGTGCCATGTGAAATGGATAATGGCACGGCTTTGAAACAGATTTTGGAATTGAACTTATTTGTTCATAGTGATTGAAATCATTCCAGGTCAAGTTTGTGAGGCAAGGTAACTGTGCAGCTCTTGTCGTAACTGACAGGTACTAGACATTCCACTCTGAGTGATTGCTAGGACACTGAAACAATTGTTTTAAACTGACCTGGCACATTAAAAATGTTAGCAATGGCAAATTTGCCTGTTATTGTTACATTTTCCCTCTTCTCTTGCCATGTTCTTTGTTGACTGTGAAGTGCACAAATTGGTGCAGAAAAGCAAGGTACTAGTATATTGAAATGGCTCAAATTGTAAACGGGGAACATGTAATAGGTGAGAATTTCGAAAGAGAAGCAGACCTTCAGTAGATATTTGCTACTACCCACTGGTACATGCTGCCTCTTAAAACCTGTCAGCTATAATGGCCGTAGGCAGATCTTATAGATGGAATGGACTATGACTAGATGCTTCCTTTTTGAAGATGGATCTAGCCTGGCCAAGTCTTGTGCAATAGCTCCATTTTTAACCATCAGAAGCTACATGTGGTCCATATAGGGAGTCGACTTTCAATTCCTTCCAAGAGTTGTTCAGCAATGTGAATAATTTCATGAAAAAGTAAGAACTGATTGTGTCCTGTTAAGAGGACTTGGTGATGTGAGATTTAACAGTCAACATCCCTTTGAGTGTCTGAAAATGACACATCTTAGAGAAAGCCCCTAATATGGGTCATTATATTTTATATGCTATTACATTTTTCTGATGAATGGATTAATGGGGTCATATGTCAGCTTCCAGTTGATCCATATAGATCTGATCTAAAGCAGGTATATATTGTATAGGGCAAAGTATAATTTAAATGTTAATAACAACAGTATTTTATAACTGGTGCTATGTTGTATTTTAAAGGCTAGACCAAAAAATAACCCTCACAAACTGATAATGGAACACAAAGCTTTTTCCTAAGAGATTAGATATTGGAACCTTGCTTCTTAGATAATTATCCTGTCAGTTGGAAGTTAGTTCAATACTCTCGAGTTATGACTAAATAATTAATAGTAGTGAAACATATATGGCAGGTGAATTTTATTTTATTTTCAATTGAAAGATATGGAAAAAATGTTAAGAGTTGTAAGAGATGCTTTGTTGTTTTGAAAAGAGTGGATTAATGTATTTGTTCTTTATTCTCCATGGGGAGATGATTCAATGTTTTAGAAACAGCCTGGGTAGATCTGTAAATGTTCATAATTACTTTTTACTAATTGGAAGAAACAAAACCAGAGTCATAATGAAAAATTACCACTGAATGTAAGGAGGAACCTAAATTACTTGATGGAATGTTGGATGATGAAAGTTTATTATTATTATTATTGTGAAAAAGGACTATGAGGGTATTAACTTTGTTATTATGAGGTATTCATAAGTTTTTAGACAGGATTACATTATTTTAATTCATGAATATAGCCTTTATTTTGTATATTTCATTTAACTTCATATATCTCTTACCAACACCATCGAGTTTGCCAAACTTGTGTCGTAGTTTCTTTAGGATAATTTGAAATAATCTTCACGATGTAAATATATGCTAAGGTCATGCTGGAAGTTGTTAACTTAAGTTTTTGTTGAATTGTTAAAAAGATAAGTAAGCATTAATCCATTACAGATAGTGCTGTTCTTAACAACTACAACATATATTGTATAGAAAAATTATACATAATTGTATCGATTCTTTTAATTAAAGGCTTTTAAGGACTAAACTTTGTTGAAGGTCTTAAATTTTTGCTGTGTAGTATACTTTTAATAGTTATGTATTAATTAGTACTTGGGTTTTTTAAACTCAAGACAAAACTTATAAGGCAATGTAAACTTTGTATGATATTTTGGCATTTTTTAGACAGTAGTGGTTATGTAAATTAAGCAGGAATTGAATATTTTCCATTTTGACATTGTATTGTTTGGAGTTGCTGCCCAAACAGTTCATTAACTAGGCTGCCATATTTATATATTTTGTAATATTGTTAAAGCAAATAAAATTATTACATTTGATGCAGAGATGTTCCATTTTTGTCATTTGTCAATTTTACAGTGCTTTTTGTTTAACAATTTGAAACTTGTTTCATTTTCACTACAAGCTGCTCAATTCAAATACTGCAAGAGCTTTGACATGCTCTAACAAGTGAGCAACTCTTGGTCCCCCTAATCACATCCTTATATTCCACGGTCTCCTTAAAAAAAGAATTGCTTGCATCAAAATAGTAATTTTTGGAGTAAATTGATCTTTTAAAAGGATCTGGAAATCCAGACCATCCAATTTTTTTGTACAAAGTATTTTTAAATATGCATAACTTATATCAAATAATTAAATGAATCACTCAATACTATACCCAATATTAACAACTGTCCCAGCAGTAATTCAGAGGCTCACGATTTGAGATGAGTTTGAACTTAGTTTACACCATCATAAAGTTTTTAAAACTTGGCCTAGAAAACTAAAAAGAAAATATCTGTTCAAATAGGTCTTTCACTGCCATAGTCCACATACTTAACTTTCAGTTTAAGGTAGAACTCTGCAGTCACAATATTGAGGATATACATTTTATTCATTTTGTACTTGTAAAGTTAACAAAGTGAATGTACAGAGCAAGATGTACAGGATCAATTTGGCAGTCGCTTAGACAAAACAAATTATATCTCACTGAACAAATGGGGTTTCTTCTTCAGATGGACAAGTGGGACAAATCACCAAGTGACATCTTACATAAAATCGTTCACGTAACACAAAACGAGCTACGGCAGAAATGGCCTTGCTTTGCAAAATGAAGATGTTAATCAAATCTACAACATATAAACTTGCTTGGCCATGTTGCAGATCATAAAATAATCAACACTCTTTTGTTGTATAGCTATTGTATAATTGACCAAAAAATCTAATAACACCCTTATGAAAGTACCTTTTAGTCTCTCTTTAAATAAATATGATGAAGAAAGAAACTAAATGCCAAACCGGCATCTCGATATATGAAGTCATAAATGTAGGCGTTTGCTGCAGCATTACAATCCCCAATAGCCTCCAAACTCTAGCCTCTAACCCAGGGTTCAAACATAATTGGAGGTAGCAACACAAATTGTAACATAATCATAGCAGTGATGGAATAATGGACAATCAAGTTTAGGATGAGGTAGAATCAAATATGCATTCAACAAAAACAATACATTCAGTTAGAAATACCACCAAATAAATAAATAAATAAAGGAAAATAACTTTGCCTTCGAAAAGGGAAGAAATGTTTTTTGTATAATTGTGCATACCACTTTTTCACTTAAATAATCATTCATCAAGAAGAAGGAATAAAGCATCATTTTTCTATGAAAATCAATTTTTTCACAACCCATTGTTCAACAGAAGAGTTTCTGCAAACAGTGCAATGCACTTTGAGATGGATTCAGTTCAGACTGCCACTAAATCAACATCAAAATAACATTAATTTACCTATCATAATGCCTGTAATAAACTGAGCTGCAGTAAAATAAGCTATTATAATTTCCATGTGAAGAAATACATCATACAGTAACTTTCATTTAGAGTAACAGTTTCAAATTTATACTGACAGTCAATGAAAACGCATCAGAAAACTCTCTTATACTTTTTTACTGAGAATCAATTCCAACCATATAAACGAGTACAAATGCACTTGTTTGGCTATAAGAGAGTGGGCTGACCACTATTTCATATTTCACATATTTCACACGAAAACTTATTTTCTTAATGTGCCAAAGGAACTTAAAATATCATTTGATAAATAAATGATGTGTTTTCATTGACTGTCAGTACATATTCATATGATGAAGCAATGGATAACTTGTCAATGAATCTACTTCAACATGGTACAATGGACAAGAATCAAACTTTCTTAAAGGACCCCCCATTCTAAACACACATTAAGTCAGGGTATTTAATCTCTTCTGCTATATTGCAACTTATTCACAGCAAATTACAGGGAGCTGCAGTCCTGGCAAAACCTGCCGCAGAACTACCCTCTTTCTTCCCCGTTTACAGTATTAAGCTAGCAATATACGTACATTCTTTGTAAATTATGTTCAGCACATCAATTTATCCTTACTATAATAATAGATTTCCCACTTGTGGACTACAGGCTTTATATCTTCTACATCAATAACTTGTTCTGAGAGTTTCAACACATTTTACATCTTTTTAACAACTCTTGCACTGACGTCACAATGGGCATCATCCAAGACATTAGTTGACCATTTGCAGATATTTAACGAATACATCTTCTTTCCACGGACTGCCTTCAATTCTGCCCCCTTTTTGTCTTCCACGTTGCCTACTCTGTAGACTGCAGTAAATAAAAACTGTCACAGCATCAACTTAGAGCTTAAGGTGACTAACAACAACAATCGCTTCTTAGCCAAGTTCTGCCACATAGCATACTTCCAGCACATCTTCAAAATTTTAGCCCCTGTCTTTTCCCAGACTGCCATAGTTCAGATTTGTATTATCTTTAATTCTGCCTCAGCATGTTTCCATGGCAACTGGTATGCCCCAGGTGCCGCCATTTGTTATGCGCAGATTCCTTCCATGTGTATTTATACCCTCCCTCTTAACTGAGTTTAATATATGAACAGAGTGCATTTTTTTCCAGGAAGTCTCTTCTCTAGATTGTCAGACAGCCAGAATTTCCTTAATGCTGGTTTTGTTGTCTCACACCCTTATTTATTTAAAGTAGGTAAGAAAACAGTTCTGTAGACTGAAGCACATTTACAGTGGTCTCTCCACATCTGCTACCTAAAACGGAGCTAAATCCTTTAAACACTTGTCAATCTCCCTGATCTTAATTTATCTCAACTAAGTCTAGCTTAAAAATTTAATGTACTTTTTAACCGTATACTAAACAAAGTTTAATTTGGTTCACAAAAATGTTAAGCGTTATATTGCTTTATTTTTTTTCTCCTATTTTATAACTGATTTATTTCAAAATTCTGATTACTAGGCCAAAATGACCCAATACTTTTCTTAAATTAAATTTTCAGGTCAGTGTGCCTAGAATTACATGACATAGAAAAAGCATTTCTGTTTCTAATTCTGGCACAAACCGTGGTTATTCTTAGAATAGTCATTGTAGTTGAAGGTCAATGACATCTACATGGTAATTATCTTTAACAATACGTTTCAACATCATCAAACTTTCTTATTTCTGAGTGACACTTTCATGCTCCAGTCTCGTCACCATTCTCATCACTTGGACACAGACATGACGACATGTTTAGTCTGTTAAAGGCATTGACAATGTTGAACAAGCAAAATGAGCATATTTTTTGTTCATCATGCTATTCATCATAGCTTAACAAGTGAAAAACCGGAAATCACCTGTAAAAAAGTAGGATATGCTCATAAATGTGCCGATTGGAGGTTACACTGCAGAGAGATCTATCTGACTTGGTGAATCAATTACGCCACATAGCTATACTCGTCTGTGGAATTCTGAGTCCTTTCAATGTACTGTTTGTCTATGAGAGCTTCTATGCATTTTTTGATCATTCCTATGCTTGGAGCAAACCGGGCCTTGGACTGACTTATTACCTGGAACAGAAATTGAAAATAATCTCAGATTCAAACTGACATTTTCATAGGTGTGGTGGGTGAAAACAAACAAACAAACAAACAAACAAAATTTTCACGCATCTCATATTTAAGGGGAAATTAGAGCTTAGGGAACAGGGCTGTACCCCCCCCCCCCCCCAACACACATACACACACGCCACCAAATTATATGTAATAATGTTATTTGCAAGCAAGGTCCCTGTAAATATGACCCATTTGGACACTAGTGGCTGACCAGGGGAATCCCATTGTCTAATTAAAATAAAGCATAACAATGACCCTTGACACGATGTGATTTCTGCCCAGTTCTCTGAATGTCAATGTGACAGAAACTCCGCCAAGACCTGGTCAGCATGAATAACTATATCTATTGTTCCAATGGTCAGGGGTGTCTGGGTAATTGCTTTAGCTGTGACAGAGTCACAATGAGTCTGTCACACCCAAGTTTTGCCTTACCTCCTGTATTAGAAGATTGTGCTTCAGCAGTTTCCTGGCTTTCATGATCCTGACTATGGCTGCCTGCAGGTATAGTTTTCTATCCTCGTCTGCCGCTGTGTGGGTCTCATTAACATCCTTTATAATATAAAACATAATTCTGTTATATTTTTAATTGAAAGAAATTAATGAAATCAAATTTTAAAAAACTTCAATGCTAAAATGTGACACCAGTGTCAAGTGCTATACCTTAGTTGAGAAATGCAAAAATAATGAATTCAAACTATATTTAAGATAAAACATAACTTCCATATTGATATGTAGCAATACAATAGGGCAACATAAACTTTAAATTTACAAGTAATCCTGTAAAAATAATTTGACAAAAATATTAACAAAATTTTGCCATACCACACATCATTTCTGGGCACTTACAGTGTACATATATAGGCATGAAATTTGAAAATATACAACCAACCATACAAAACAGCCTGTTCATTTTCTAGTTAAAAATCTAAAATGTTACTCGGGTCTACTTACCGACTGTGTTTCTTTTTGAACAGCCGTGGTAATTTTGAATTTTGTCCTTTTATTTGAATAGTTTAGATTTAACCTGATTACACTGGTGGCTGTCACCTGACCCTGAAAAGAAACAATGTAGCAGAGCATATTTATGTGAATGGCATAAATTGTTAGTTGCCTATTTAAATGTAATTTTGTGGCTTGTTTGCAGAAGAAAGATATGTGCAATATTAGTTGATCAATAGTTGCATCAAACATAATTCACTGGAAACAAAATGGACTCGTTTCAAAACCAACCAGACAGTACAACAGTTAATTTCATTTCTACTTAATGTAATCTAAAACTACTGGATGGACTCAATCTTAAAGTAAAGTCAGCCATTTCACCTCGAGGAATTTTTGTCAAACAGACCCCAGAAGGCCATTTGAACAGCCACCTCGAGAATTTTTTGTCAAACGGGCCCCAGAAGGCCATTTGAACAGCCACCTCGAGAATTTTTTGTCAAACGGGCCCCAGAAGGCCATCTGACCAGCAGCTTGGAGGTAGGTTTCATCTACCCACCTCACACGTGATTAATTTTGTTTCTAATAAAGTCTGCAGCTGTTTTGTAAGTTCCTTTTCAGGTAGATGGGTGCTGTCTAAGATGTCCTGTAACGTGAGGCTGTCCGTGTTGTTAAACAGCAGCAGGATTCCCATGTGGAAGGTTCCCATGTTGATAAAGTACTGCTTCTTTAAATAGTTGAGCTTGAGTTCAGCTGGAGAAAAAATATGGTGTTGAATAATAAACTTGACTGTGTTATCTTCGTAGACAATAAGTATGGTAATGACTTGATCTTTTCAAGGGGGAAAATTGTGAATTTTACAGATACAGTGCTATATTTTTTAAAGTCATTATTTTCAACTGCCACAAAGAACTGAATTACACTTATTTTATTTTATGTTAGAGTTCATAAATTCAAACCCTTTTTACCACAATTCTTTATATTCAACAAAAATATACCTACCATTACAAAAACTGTGCATCCAAGTTAATTTTCTACCATTAAAGTTTTTATTGTAAAAGGATTCAAACTGGAAGGAGTAAAAGGAGATTAAACTCACTAAACACTAATGAAATTTAAAAATTAGCCAAACTGTGGATTCTGAAAGAAATGGCCTTGTGTGATACTTCAAGAAGAAAGTAGATTGATTAATAAACCATAACTTCAAGTATAAAACTAACGTGTCACAATGCTATCAATAATTCATGACAATAATTAAAGGAAAAGTACAAAAGATCTACACGTTCCAAAATCTTACCGTTTTCTGATAGCCTAATTTCTTAAGCCCCTTTTCATTCTCACTCTTCAAACATATTTATAACAAAAGATATTTCCAAATTTGGGACTAGATAAAGTAATAATTGGTAAGTATAAGTAAATTGACAAAGACCCCTGAAAAATAGATTTATTCATTTTTCTTCACAACTAAATATTCTGAACTAAGTCCTTTGAAGTATGCTATGGCAGAGATGTTTACCATTTGTACACTTTTCTCCAGCTCCTGGGGGATGGCAAAGGTGGGAAGATTGCTCTGTCCTATAGGCCACGCCCCTGCCTGAAATGTAGAGGGGGGAAATCATTTCACTGGTAAAATAATCCGAAATTACAAATTCTGAAAAAATACTATATCTCTTATATTGTGTCTTGTTCTGATAATCCCTGATCACAAGTAAACATTTGTATAAAACCAATCAATTCACATCAATATGATCTTAATTGAAAACATTCACCGTGACAGATGACAACAAATTTTTGTCAACCAAAATTGTTTCTGAAAACACACACAGCGTTTTAAATGGACTTCCAAAAATGATAAGTTGACATTGGAAATGATGTTAGAAAAGCCCAAGAATCAAATACGCTCCAGCACTTTATGCCACAAATTCATCTCCTTCATCTCAACAAGACATGAGAGGACTTACTTGTAGGACTAAAATGGAGAAGTTCACGCCCAGTGAGCTCTTGTCTTGTTTTACAAAGTCGTTGAATTTGGCGTTGAGATCAGAGCTGATGCTCATATCAGTGAACATCCTATGGAGTTTGTTGGTAAACTCATACCCACAGGCTTGCTATGGAAATAAAAAATCAAAAATATAAATTGGGTGAATTTCACAACTATACCATATTTTGCAAAATTGTTATGTTGCAAATTAAGGAATACCTGATGTTAAGACTCAATGACATGTAATGTTATCTAGAAATGGAAATTAGTACTTAAAAAAAATTTTCAGAAAAAAATCCAGAAATATGATACATTAAAATAGATAACCAGTGTGATTCCATGTCATTTGTTTTACTGGTGTGCCAACTTTCAAAACAATAAGCATGAAGACTTTTTTAAAAATAAAATATATACATTTTGTCAAAGTGAACAATCATTAACATGATATCGTCTTACAGGATTTACTTAAACAAGGTTATTATTTCTTAAACAGACTGGTATCAGCTTACCTTGAGTCTGTTGATCATGGCTTCCTCAGCGTCCATGGACATGGACTGACCATAGATCAACCGCCTGGCCAGCATACGCGCATAGAACTAACAAATACAGATCATAGTTGAAAAATGCATTTTTGTTATGGAATACTATTCACAATGTTTGAAATGAACTACACATATATCCAACTCCTTAGAAAAAAAAATACGACATCCCACTTTACAATACAGTGACACCTAAAACAATGCCATTTTAAGTAGTGCCATACAACTTCAACCAGCACATAACAAATTACTATGAAAGAGGTTTTTCATGGTTTCTAGATAGGATGATATACCGTAACAGAATTATTCTTTACTTAGAGACTAAATAATATGAGTCAAACACAACATTCCTGTCGACCATCTGTGGACCTTAGCTATGTGAATGTTGACCACAGCCCCATAACCCGAATCATTGCACATTGCGAATAGCGGTATCACAAAGAGGCTAAAATTTATTATATGGGGCGAGTATCGACGAGTTATGGAATCGAGACGCTTGCGCTCAGTCGCAATGCGCGATGCTTTCGAGTTACAGGGCCCAGGTAGCACATTCCCAGCCACTTAGCATCAAGTTGAAATCTTACCCTTTGATAAATGTCCTTATCATCTAGATATTTAAACACTGTAATTGAACTGGCCAGCTTGTCGTCTATCTCGGACTCACACATCCCCTTGGCACTCTTCTTTAACAAGGTATCACAGTACTTGGCCAGCTGAAAAAAGGCAACATAAACACCTGACATCACTCCAGTTTAGGGAATAGAACTTAAAATGGAAACTTATGTCCATTTCCAACCCCAATAAATCAGTTTTAATCCAGTTCTTAAATGAAACATTCTCCTGGTTTTTCCTCCTCAAAATCTAGGTCCTTAGATTTTAAGTTATCAGTATAATTACTCTTTTAATCATATTTTATCTAGTGTCATGTAAATGAAGGGTACTGACCAATTCTGGAGAGCGGCAGGGAGACTTTGGACCTGGTTTGTAGTTAATAGCTGCAGCACAGGCCTGGAAGGCAAGTCAAATGATAATAATTGGAATACATTAAGTAGATTTACAATACAAGATACATTTATAAGTATTTTAGCTGTTACAGTAGACTGTACTCTTAACTTGAAGTTTCTTGAATTCAAATCCTATAACTGAATATATCTGTAAATTGGAAAGGATATGTCTCTCCAAGCAGAAATACATTATCAAAACAGTCAGCATTTATCAACACTATGGGCTATATGGCTGTTAATGCCTTAATAAAAAATCCTTTTGATTTACTTTTTCTGTTAGCCAAGGATAACTTGTCATATAATTTTAATATCTCACAGTGAAGTTAGGAGTGTTTTCTATGGTTGATATGTTGGGAATCGTTTTTCATCTATTCAACATTTAAGCACCCATTCAACGTATACATCAACCCCCCCCCTCTCCGAATCTTTCTATAGCCCCTAGCCACTCAATCAGCCACCCTTTCTCCCATCCCCAACATCCCCTCTGTGCCTTACCCTTTTTCTCACCATCTCTCCCTTTCTTACTCCATCATTCACCCACCCACCCACCCCCTCCATTCACCCCACCCCCACCCAC